GTGGTGGTGGTGGTAGTGGTGGTAAGGGTGATGGAGGTGGTAGTGGAGGTTAGGGGTCTCAAGTTGGCTCCAGCAACTCCATATGCAACAAAGGAAACTTTCGGTTCTGTGTCATCCTCAAAATCATTGGCATGTTTGAGTCACTGGTGCAGCCATTGTTATCAGTTCATCTTGTTGAGGGCCTTCCTCTTTGTCACTGACCCTCTACCTCACCAAGCACAATGTCCTTCTCCAAGGATCCTCCCTCCTGATAGCATGTCCACAGGTCACAAGACAAAGGCTCGCTGTCCCCATTCTGAAGGGCACTCTAGCTGTGCTCAGACTTCTCCCAAGACAGACTTGCTTGTTCTTCACCAGGGAGAGAAATACCCTGAATTTTCACTTCCTCCCACCCTCCCATTTTCCATTAATGCCTCCTATTGACCAAAATTTCCCAGAACTCAGAGGCAAAGGGAACCTGGGAAGTGTACTTCCCTGAGATCCAGGGGAATTCTCAGTAGATTGGACTGGCTGCGCATTTGGTACTGGCGTGCCCAAGTCTAGACATCCCTCTGGTGGGTGCATGCCACGGGGGTGTGCATCAAGTCGGGAAACAGTGTTGCAGAAAGAGAGAGAGAATGCCTCTGGCTAAGAAAGATCTTTGAATGCACAAGGCACGTGTAGCTGCACACACAGGACCAGAGAGTCACAGACTGAAAGTGCGGGCCCAGCCACATGAGTGAGCCCTTGTGACCAGGCATGTGGGAGTGTGTGAGACTCACCAGCGTCTGGAACCCAGCCCAGCCCACTGTCCTAGCAGAAAGACCCAAGCTCAGAGCTCTCCTCCACAAAGTCTGATGACGGGGCCCATGGTTCCTGGGCCATCGAGTCATGGACCCAGGGGGTGGGTCATATGGGAGCATCTCCCTTATACGAGTGCCGTCACCAGGGAGAGAGGAGGAAGCCCCAGAAATGTCCGGCACCAGCTTTTCCCTGAAGGGAGGAGGCGCTGTTTTGGTCTCCCTTGGACATCTGGCTCCATCCTTACGGGTTCTGCTGCTTAGCCAGCCGGTTGGTCCCTTTTGGGCCTGTCCACCCTGCACCTGCATCCCCATGTCCCCTCGGCTCAGAAGTTCAATTATTTCTCAGGAGACTCTCAGGAAGCCCTTGGAGGAGAGACCAGGTTCTCCAGTTCTGGTTCTGCCCCGGGCCGGCATGGATGTGGTAGAGATGTGGATGAGAAGCGAAAGAGTCGTTGTCTGGGAGTGTTTTACTCCCAATATCTTCAGCATCAGTGACATGAATTCGACCTTGCAAGTCACAAGGCCCTGAAGTGTTCCCCACGTCCCGCCCCGTCAGCAGGTAGCCTCACCTGAGAGTGGCGTGCTTTTCATAGGCCCCGTGATGTTGAGAACGGACTTGGCCGGCTTCAGCCCTGGGAGGCAGGTTCCATCACTGCCTCCATTCAAGGTGGAGGCTCTGCATCTCTGGGAGGCAACATGATTTTCTCGAGGCAGCATGGCCATTCGTCTTGCTCTCTGGGCCGGGGGCTGTGCTTCCTTCCTAGACACAGGAAGGACGTGTTTCGATGGGAACTGTATTCTCTGCTGCCGAGCGAACAGCTACAATGCGTGGTGACTCAGGGCCACACAGCGGCACGGTGGGGCAGGAGGCCGGCACAGCTTGGCAGGATCCTCTGCTCAGCTCTGCCGCGGCTGCTCCTCTACAGAGGCTGGAGTCCTCTTCCAAGCCCACTGGTTGTCAAGAGAATTCGTTTCCTTGGGGTTGGATGGTGGAGGGTCTAGTCTCCTGCCAGCACTGGTCCAGGGACCTCTCGGTTCCTAGAAGCTCCCCACTCAAACACCTCACTGTCATGAAGCCCGTTCTGACTCATAGCACCCCTCTCGGACAGAGTAGAGGCTGCCCTGTGGGTTTCCAAGACTGTGACTCTTCACGGGAGCAGACGGTGTTGCCTCTCTCGCGTGGACCCGCTGATGGTTTTGAACTGCTTGTGGTTAGCGCCCCAAGAAAGAGTTCCTGGCTCGTGGCCACATGGATCTGCTTTTTCAGGGCCATCAGGGGGCATCGCTCTGACTTCTCCTAGCGTGAAGTGGTGTGGCCTCATTCAGAGAGTGGTTGCTACTTACTGAAAGGTCAGTGGTTTGAGCCTACCGCTGCCCCTTGTGGCAGTCTGTTTCCATCAAGATTACAGCCTTGGGAACCCTCTGGGGCAGTTCCACTCCGACCTAGAGGACTCCAATGAGTTCCATCGACACGCTGGCGGTGGGCATGCCCCCTGCGTGGCCCACGTGGTGAACGTGCTGGGCCACACTGACCGCGGAGCTACAGGGGCTGGAGATGGTGGGTGGACAGGGTCTCCGCCCCCTCTAGCAGTGGGCTTTGAGGCTCTCGGTTCATCTTCATCTTTCACTGGGTAACGCTGATGCCCTGCTTACCGTGTTGGAAAGGAGGAAGGGACGGGGCCATGGAGACTGGGCCCTAGGTGGACCCCAGCCGGGATCACGCTAGCCCCTTCTGACTCCAGGACCGGACGGCTTGTGTTCAGACTGTGTTGGGTTGGGTTCTCCGGATAAGCAAAGTCATTCATACTTGTCTGTGTCGTGTAGAGAGATTGATAGTAAGGAATGGCTGACGCGGTTGTAGAAATGGGGAAGTCCAGTCTGGACCATGACAGGCTTCTCCTGACTCATGGAAGTGATGAGCAGGAAGCAGGATGATGAGGCAGAGGCAGCAGGGGCCACGGGCTGGTGGATGCAGAGCTCCGCTGACGTTGGCTGAACAAATCCACCCTGTGCAGTCTGCAGACGGCTCCTGGGATCAGCAGGGGATGCGACAGGACTTCAAGGGACCAGATGCAAAAGAAGCACCAGACCAGAAGCACCAGAGAGAGAGCTCCAACTCTGCTTGGTCTCTCTCACTGACCAAGGAGGTGTCAGCAGGCTGTGACTCAATGGGGGGGAGGGGGCTGGGCTCTGTCCCACCCTTACCCAGGATTGTTTAATAGACATCACCCCTAACCAGCATCAAACCCATTACCATGGAGTTGGCTCTGACTTGTGACGATCCACTATGTGTCAGAGCAGAGGCGGTTTTCAGAAGTAGATTGCCAGACCTTTCTAATGAGGCACCTCTAGGTGGGCTTGACCTGCCATCCTTTCCATCAGCACTGGAGCCTTTTAGCCATTTGTACCCCATGGGCCTACTGCCACGCTGAAGAAACCAAACTCACTGCCATCGAGTTCACGCCAACTCACAGTGACCCTGTAGGACAGGATTTCCCAGACTGTGACTCTTCATAGGAAGAGCGGGCCCGGCTAACTGTGCAAGCTTCAAGCCTCAGCAAAATCTGCCTCCATCCTGCTGGACACAGAGAGAGACATGGCCAGGCAGGAGCTCGCAGGAAGTTGGGATTCCTCTCTTGAAGGAAGGAGGCAGGGGTATAGAAGGTGAATGCCCACCTCCCTCCAGCAGGCCCCCCTAAAGAAAGCAAGGTGAGGTCAGGGGTGATGGGTGTCTGGGACTGACACCGGATGGCACCCCAAGATGGAAGGTGGGGTGCTCCTGAGTGCAGCCAGGCTGCTGGTCCTGCTCCCCTCCCCAAGCCCAAGTCCAGAGAAAGGGCAGTACACGTTTCTTCCTCTCTCTGGTCTCCCGCTCCTCAGACCACGGGGGAGACGAGCTCAGCACACCGACCTTTCAGAGATCACAGGCCCTATCCCCATCAGCAAACGCCAAGTCCTCTGGATGGGACTGCCCCTTGAACTCCCCATGGGAAATCCCCGAGGGAGGTCAGTGCCACGGCCAGCACTGCCCCCAGGTCAGCGAGCCTGGCTGTGTCAGCCCAGGTTTGACTTAGCCGTGAGGAGCTCACGCCAGTGCCGCTGGGCCTCTCACCACACGCACTCCTGGGAGACGTGAAGGTGGCCAGTGCCGCGTATGCAGGCCCGAAGCCATGCAGTCCAGCCTGCCATTCCTGCTAGGTTTTCCATCACTTATTAATGAATGTTGGCAGCGGCCCTGGAGTTCTGGCTCTGCTGGGGACATGGACGCTGAGCCAGGTTGGCAAGGCCATGTGACCAGTTGCTATGCAGGGCAGGGGTGCTGCTCTCATCTTCTAGGTGGCTGCTGCTGCCCCCTCACCTGTGTGTGGCTTTTCCTGTTGTGGCAGGTAGCCATCAGCAAGTCGATTCCTGACCTGTGCTGGCCCCAGTCCCACGCAGCTAAGCCCAGACTGCCCCACCTGCGCCATCACCACGGTCAATGGTGGCCCACGGGGTCTGTTGGGTTCTGCTGGCCGGGTTTTGGAAGCAGAGCACCAGGCCTTTCTTCCTAGCCTGAAACACGATGATGCAGAAATCTGTTCCGCACCATAGCACGCTAGCACCACACAGGCCTCCAGTAGCAGACAGCTGGTGGCTGCGTTAGGACCTGGGTCTCCCCCACGGAATGTGACTCCCATCAAGCCCCCACAGCCCCCGTTGACATAACAATGTACCGTACCCTGGGTGAGTGCTGTGTCTGGTGCCACTGAGTCCGTTCCAGCCCACAGCGACCCCATGCACACCAGAACGAAACACTGCCCTGCCTCCGCCATCCTCGCCATGTTCCTCTGCCCGAGCACATGGATGGAGACACTGTGTCCGTCCATCTCTTGGAGGGCCTTCCTCCTTTTCGCCTCCCCTCCACTTTACCAAGCATGATGTCCTTCTCTAGGGACTGGTGTCTCCTGACCATATGCCCGAAATATATAAGACGAAGTCTTGCCATCCTTGCTCTAAGCAGCTCTGGCCTTCCTTCTTCCAGTACAGATCAGTTTGCCCTTCCAGCAGTCCCTGGCACTGTCCATACTCCTCTCCAGCACTGGGATTCAGATGCATCCATTCTACTACGGCAGGGGTCCTCAAACCTTTTAAACAGGGGGCCAGTGCACTGTCCCTCAGACCTGTTGGAAGGCCTGACTATAGTTAAAAAAAACTATGAACAAATTCCTATGCACACTGCACATATCTTATTCTGAAGTAAAAAAACAAATGGGGCAAAAACACCCGGTGGACCAGATAAATGTCCTTGGTGGGTTGCATGTGGCCGCAGTTTGAGGACCCCTGTTCTACGGTCTCCCTTATTCAAAGCCCAACTCTCACATGCGTACAATGCAATGGAGAATACCTAGCTTGGGTCAGGCGCACCTTTGTCTTCAAAGTACTGCCCTACTGGCATTTGAAATGCCAGTGACATAGCTTCCAGCATCGCAGGAACACACAAGCCATCGCAATACGACAGACTGACAGACAAGTGGTGGCTGCGTGGCTGACACACCGACATTTACTCTTTGCTCCGGAAGCCAGGAGTTTGAGATCAAGGTGTTGGCCTGGCCACCAGTGTGGGAACTCAAAGGTATCCCCTCCATCCCCCGTCCCATGGGCCTCCTCTTGGACTAAAGCCTGACAAGTCCCTATCAGGCTTCCTGTTACTTTTACTCATAGAAGAACATGTGATCAATACACATGACCACAAAGAGAGTGGCTTCAAACTAATGCTGCTGCGTGGATTTGACGGATACCTGCCACAGAGTCACTTTGTTAAGCTCCTGCTACATAGACTGGCCATGCCCTGCGGGACACCGGGAACAGCTGAGCAGCAGTGGGTTCTTGACAGTGAGTCTCCTTTTCCTTCTGTGACGACCTCATGCCCAGGACAGTCTGTGGCTGTGGGCTCACACACACTCCTGCCAAGACCGTCGCAGAAACGCCAACAGTTTGACAGAGCCAGCGACTGCAAGAACGATGGCAGCAGCAACCAACAGCACAGGGCGTGTGGGCAGCGTGTGCGGAGGAGCCGTCCCTGTGATCAAGCAGTGGTGACGTCTCTGCCCGGAGTGCATTAGAAGGCTCCCCAACGCAAATCAACATAGAGAATTTAGTTTTGTGGGTCTGAAGACATGTAAAAGTCGGTTTTGTTGCTATCACTCACTGCAGGGCTATTTTTATAAACAATTTTAAAAACCAATAAATTTCTACAGAAGCACAAACATTTCCTAGACGGACATTCTGTGTCCCCATCTCTGGCAGTGTCACTGATCTGGCCCCCACCCCCGTGGGTGTCCCTGCAAAACCTCCTCAAAAGGATTTCCCCCCTTGCTTCTTCCAGCTCTGGGTGTCCTTGACATCCCTCCAATCTCTGCCTCCGTCTTCCCACAGCCATCCCCTCTGTGTCTCTGGTTATCAGCCTGGACCGTGTCCATCCTCATCAATCCGACCGCCTCGTCATTAGGTCAGCAACCAAGGCAGCTCCACGGGTGCCAAGGATTAGGGCATGACTCTTATCCTTCTGGATGTCACAGTCCGACCACAGCACACCCTAATGGCTTCTCTGCTCAAAGCCAAGCCGGCACGTTTGAGGACAAAAGGCTCAGCTCGAGCTGGGCCTCTGGACAGGGAGATACGACTGTCCATCTTCCTTTGCTCCACACCATCCCTCAGGATTAGCTGTGTGCTCACATGCACCTGGCCACCCACAGACTAATCAGCGTGTCCTATCGTCATCATCATGACAGGAGCTGACATTTGTCACGGGCTCCCTTTGTGACAGCAGGCACATGCTGACGATGTCACATGTGGTCTCTCCCCACACCCCCACCTACCCTCAGGGATAGGTGTTGTGGTCACTCTACAGAACAGAAAAATGAGGAGCAGCAGGTTAAGCCATTGCCCAGGTGTGGTCAGGTGAGAACCCTGGCTTGGTCGCTGGGGGCTCTGTTACCCAGAACAAGTGCAAGGCAGCCCACCACAGGCTCAGCCGGACTTCCCTTGGCCCCTGAGTGGCCTGGTCTTGGTGACGTCTGGGCATATAGATGGCATATGGATGCCATTCGTTAGTTAGCCTGAAACAGGTACCTTAGAACCAGTGATGCTGTTGGGTAAGCACTGCAAGGTTGGAGGTTCAAAAACACCAGCCACCCAGGGGAGAAAGATGAGGCTGTCTGCCCCCACAGAAATCTACAGCCTCAAACACCCTAGGCAGGGTTGCTGGGAGTCAAAATCAACTCCGTGGCAGAGTGTTAATCTGGCACCAGGTAACTTGGATTCAAATCCCACCCCGACCCTCTGGCTTCTGCAGGCTCATCCTGTGTTTTGGTCCTCGTTGTCATGGGGACAGTGTGACATCCAGGAGGGTCAGATGATGGGGTCAGCGGCAGGGCATTTCAGGGCAGTGTGGCCCTCACCTGTGGGGAAGGGGCTGAGAGGGAGCACTAGCTACAGGCACCGGGAGCAAAGACAAGGGTGCTGGCGATGGTGCCACTGTTGGAGGGCTGAAACCAGCCCTGCACACGCACGCGCATG